AATGCAGGAATTGTGAATAAAGGGAAAAATAAAACATCAAGGAAAATATTAGCCCAATTACTACCCTCTAGTGTGGTCAATTTTAGCTCGCCAATAGCCTTAAACTCCCACCTAATTCCACATGTATACATGTGGTTCAACTATGTTTAAGCTTGCAAACTAGCATGCAACAACCCTCCACCCTCCTATTGCAGCTGACTCCCTCTATGCAGTATGAACCTAATCTTCACTTCTTGATTTTGCATGACAGCCATCAGTCATCTCACTCGCCACTTTAGTGTTATGCGTCTTTTTAACTTTGAAAATTTTGAAACTTCAAAATTATTTTATAATTTTTTGGATTTATGAATTTTCTTTTTAGGATTTGAGAAAACACAATTTGGATTTTGTTTTTCGTATACTTCATGTTAATTTCACTTTCATTATTTTATGTGGAGTGTTCATACTCTTGAGTGACTTAGTATGAATTCGTAGTTCCAAGTAACTACTATTACATCTTCAGGGAATTTTTTTATTATTACAGGGGCCTCATTGCACCTCTTTTTTTGGATCCTGCTCTGTGGCGAGTGATGCCTATCCAAATACACTAATTCTAAAATTCGTACTGTTCAACCATTCAGTTGCTAACAATCATTGTTGAGATGGGTTGTTCTATAAGACCACTTGTAGGTTCATCCTCATAATGGTTTGCTTCATAAATATGTTCATCCTGGACCGTACACTCATGAATTAACATGAGTAAAGCAGATGGGATTATTGCCATTCCCTTGATTATACTAATCAGGTTTGGTCTGCTTCAAAATAAGGTTTTGTGGTCACCCATTGCATTTTCTCTGGTGAGGAGTTTCTCTGGACTCTCCAAGTGTTTCCCTCCCTTCTTCTAGTGAAGTTCGTGTTCAGTTCCACTCATTTGAGATTAGGGTGGTGGTGTTCTGCTGGTGTAGGTGATGTGACTATCCTCATACCACGGATCTGTTGAGTTATTTCAGATGCCGTTTGGTGTGGACTGGATTTTTTTGTCTCGTTTCTCTATGCAGTTCACCCCTCCTACTGGGAACTCTCTTTCCTACTACCACCTGGATGTCATTTCCTGGGCAACTGGTGTTGGTTGGAGCAGGACCAGTGAAATAAGTCCTTACATGTGAGCGGCTGAGACCCTCTTCCTACAGTGAACTGTACAATACATTCCCAATGCTTCATTGTTTTGGACTGGAGTTGCCCCCCATGTTGCATTTCCACCTACTTACTGTCACCTGGATGTCAGTTCTCTGGGGGTACAGGTGTTGGTTATGCACACATGATGATTTAGGTTCTCAGAACAGAAGTACTTTGTCCCTTCTGGGTTCAAAGTGAATGGTAGAGGACCCTCCTCCTACTGTGGGCCAATTGATCCATTCTCGGTGCCGCTAGTTTTTAACTGGAGTCGTCTTCTGCTTACAGTCCAACTCATCATAGTCACTTTACACCAAGGGCACTTTTTAGAATATGCCTAATTTTCCACCCATTTTGTGACACCATTAATCTTGGGTAAAATGTATACCTGGTTCAGATGTGGTGCAGTCTCCCACATGTGTGTTTCCTGTATTTTGAGATGTCACACTCCTTGATTCCTTTTCAGACACTTTCTAAGGGGGTCATTCGTCTATGTAACTTTTACACCAGTCCCTCCCCAAGTCAATGCAGGATTCTAGTTGTAACTTTGAGTGGAGGTAAGTTATTGTATCTGAAGTTATTATTTTCCTACACTGAAAATATATTTCTGATAGATACTTACCTCTTTTCACTCTTCCTCTTCACTTTTAGTGTTGTTTTTTGAGCCTAATCTCAAAGTGAAGATTGATTTCACACTGCATAGAGGGAGTCAGCTGCGATAGGAGGCTGTGTCGCACTCCTATTGTTTGAGGATTGTTGCATGCTAATTTTCATGCTTAAACGCAGTTGAACATGTGGAATTAGGTGGGAGTTCAAGACTAGCGGCGAGTGAAAATTTGTGCACTAGAGGATAGTCATATCAAGAATAGCTGTAACTTTGAGTGGAGGAAAGTGTCTATCAGAAATATATTTTTAGTGTAGGAAAATATTAACTTTCCTCACACTAACTGATGCTTAGTAGAATTCTTTGTTTGGTGGTGATCATCTTTTGTTGCTCTGAGCACTTATGAAAACTAATCTGTTTATAGCTTACTTAGAAAGCCAGGTAAATTGTACTAATTTTGGGATATTCTACTCTTGTGACTCGTATATTTTTTGTGTTGTAAAATTCATATTTAAAAGCATATTAATTAATTATTTTGACATCTAAATTTTTGAGACACTCACCAAGGCTTATAGAAGAATGTTTTCAGTTTTTACTCAAGTTCAAATGAGCTTGAATATGCAGCAAGTACTACAAATCCTTGTTTTTATGTGTATATTTTATTTATTGTTGTATACTTTAACAAAAGTAACTAACCATCAGATGCCTTTACTGGTGAAACCATGGTAGTAATAAATAAAATATCTGTAAAACATACAACTATCTTTGTTTTTTCCTAATTCTGTAATTATGGAGTTTTACCAAGTATCAGTGATTTGAAGTATTGAAAGTAATTAGAATGTACAAATGAGAAACTTCTCAGGGTTATCTGACAAAACATATAATAGTTTATGAGTCTCACTTGACCTTACTTTTTACTTAAGTACTTCTTGAAACAGCTAATTGTTTCCAGCTGTGATTTATTGCTCTTGAGTGAGGATGTTACTGCTCTTGCTGCACACAGTATAGCATTAAAACCATAAAATGAAGCAGAAGTTATAAGGTTAACAATTGAACCTGTTAAGATAAATACTTTGCAAGTTTTAATAAATACTGTAGTCAGTGTAGATCAAAAACTAGTATTGTTAATTTTATTTCATATTTTTAAAACTTTTTGTTTCACTTTACATTAATAACTTCACTATAGGTAGTGTTTGATTAGAGAAAATAAGTGATAAAATATAGTTTTACCAAGAAATCTTGATGATTATTTAGGAGGCTCTAGAGGATATCAAATGAAATGGGAAATTATAAGATGAAAGAATGTATTTTATTCTTAGCATGAACATCATTTTTCACTCAGACTGACTCAGTAAAGGCTTAGTTAGTACACAGGCAAATCTTTAGTAAAAAGTACTTAGTAAATTCAGAACTAGAATAAACATCACTATGTATAGTTTCACAGATACAGGGTTTAAACATGTGATTATGAGTAGATAAAAGGTTAGGTTGCGAAGACAGGGTTTTTTCTTTAGTTTGTGTCTTTGCTGGTTTTTATACTTTGTGTGTCTTTGTGATGTTGGTTTGGTCTAGTGTGTAAGGTGTGAGAACAAACATGAGGCCTATGAATTTAAATACTGGTTCGAAATGACAGTTGTTGTGTTATCTAGTATGAAATTATCAAAATATTTCTTATCAATCAGATACATCCTTTTAAATGCTTAGGTGTCCAGTGTGATTTTAGGAGCATTTGGCACAGGGCACAAGTAAGGTCAACTAGTAATATACATGTATATATATATATATATGTGTGTGTGTGTGTACATAAATATTATAGTAAATGCATCCTAATATTCTGTTAGCTTGACTACTAGCAACAGAGCTCTGCTTTATTAGTTTCAATGACTTATCCACCATTTAGTCAAGATCCTTTTCTTAAGTTGTGCTTTTGTGTTGGTTTCTATCTGTATGAAATGTGTGATTCAAATTAAGATAATATTTGACTAACTTACTAATTGATACAAGTCATTCTGTTATACCTTGGTATTCCCATCAGTTAATGTCATCAACAAACTACATATTTGCTAATTATATTTTTTCAATATCAACAAAGCACTGCGTCTGGACTTAAATATCAGAATTATTAATCAAACATTTAAATTCACAGTTGTCAATAAAATGTATAATTTCAACTTTGAAGTTATAAACCTTCTGTTTCCAAGTAAATATATTCCAAATAAGTTATCTTACAGTGTTTTCTTCTCACAGCTTATTAGACACAGAAGAATTTGTTCAATGTTACAAGACTTCTTGGATAGAGCTCATAAACTTGCTTTCATTTTGCCCATTGCATTTTGAATGCAAAATTCGTTCAATTTTGTGGGAAATTCCAAAATATTCCTGCTATGGTTTATTGGTTTAGAAGGTTTACAGAATGTCACAACCTTTTAAAAACCTAACATCTACACTTTATTTTTTGGAAATTATTTAGGGTAATAGTTAACTGCTCTGGTATATTAACCATCATTGGTTTTACTTCTTGTTAATCTTTTATTATTGTAATTACGTTCTATCATTGAACAGGTTCTTTTGGATTATTTGGTAAAAATAATGCAAAATCCAGTCCATGTAATGATAACAATTTAGTTAATTTCTCCTAAAATGTTTGCTATAGACTATGTTCACATTAGACCTAAGTTCACAAACAAGTTTGCACAGAAATTCTGAGACTATTGGTACCTGTGCCAAACTTACATACAACTTATTTACAGAATTTCATTACTAATGGTTTAATTAATTGAAGATACATAATAACCCTCACATCTAACATTGAATAACTTTTTGGAACACTGAGCTGAATCACTTATTCTTTATTCAACTCTCTTCTCATTAACTGCTCACTCAACTTCCTTCTACTCAATATATGAATTTCCACACCATAATGACATCATGGAACCTCTAGTAAACATCTAAATTGAAAAGCATTGAAAATATATCTTGCAGTATTATGTATAGTTAATACTAGCTATATAATAGTTCCAGATATAGTATATTACTTTTTGTTGATTACATTCTTTGCCATATTTACAATTGCTGTAAATTTCCTTTCTAAGTCTTATTATTGAACTTTCTTGTGGCTTATTGCATTTACATTTTGGCTTTTACAGAAAATTTAATTTCAATATTTAATTTTTATATGCTAAATAATTAGCATATAGATATTTTAGTTGTTAAAGAAAATTTTAGTCACCTTTAATTGTTTCAGGAAAATCTAACTTCATGGATGCTATCAGCTTTGTGCTGGGAGAAAAAACATCTAGCCTTAGGGTAAAGAAGCTTGGGGTAAGAAGTAATTTTAAGTTGATATTTTCTTGAGTTTTAATGGGTATAGCACAACCAGAACGTTTCATTCCCAAACTGTCATACTATGTAAAACCGAAGTTTATTATTTGTACTAAGTCAAACTTGAAAAGGTAGATTTTCTTTGATTAGAAAAAATTATGATTTCTGTGATTTATAGTGAATAGGAACTTTGTTTATTGCTTTACAAAACTTTGGACATGATAATTCTAGACACTGTTTAACAATTGTAACAAATCAATTTTTACAAACACGTTTTTATTTTACATTTGCATTAAATTGCCAGTATTAAATATTAACTCAATTTTTTCACTAATTTTACCATTGTGAACAAATATCCATCATTTTTGGAAATTAACATCATTATCCTAATGATACCAAACTAATCCGAGCATGTTACATTACACAAGTTACTAATCACGTTTCGTTTCTGCAAGCATGTTAAACAATTTTCTTACCAGTTCATTTACTTTCTGATACGATTACTTACCTCCGCTTACATTAACAGCTATTCTTGATTCGATTGACTGCCCTCTAGTGTGCAAATTTTTGCTTGCCATTAGCCTTGAATTCCCATCTAATTCCACACACACCCTCCTATCACAGCTGACTTCCTCCATGCAGTTGAACCCAATCTTCACTTCTTGATTTGGCACAAATGTTTTATGTCTAATGCTTGATTTTCAACCATTTTTCCTTTTCCTCAGAGAAACTGCTCAGGTGGGTTGGATTATCAAGGTCGAGAAGTTCGTTATCCTCCTCACTCAAGATCTTGTTCATCTGGTGGTGTTTTTCAACTCACATCTCAGTTGAGCCCAGCCTTCTTCTCTTCCTCTACAGGCCATAGAGTTTTAGTTGAGAGGACACAATTAGCTCCTACTCTCCCTACATAGAGATTCTGTCTCTTTTGGGAACTTGGGCATTAGTGGAGGCTCTTATCTCTCTGGGCTGTGCCCACATATATTCCTTGCAGTGGGTACTACAACATCAGTGGCACCTCATCAGGGTCCCTCTGATTTACATATTGGCTTGTCACATAACATGTGCCCTCAATTTTGTTACAGATCATCTGTGTCATCCCAACAAGATTATACTCACAGAGAGGTCTCTCGACCCCAGATATTCCAATGGCTACATTGTCAGTTGGATACTACCCAACTGGGTACATGTGGCACTCATTTGAATGCCAGGCTTCCTCTCTTTTGGTCCCTGGTTCTACATCCTTTGGCTTAGCATAGATGAATTCACCTAGGAATGGAAGGACCTTTTCCTTTATGCATACCTTCCCATCCCTCTTCTATCTGAGTAATCTTTCTCATCCAATCCACTCTGTGTGAGTCTTTTTCGTGGGTCTTTTCTGGCTGGCTCATCCATGGCTTCCATCCCTGTCACTTCTTCAGCAACCTCACTCTTGGATGCTTCATTCCTCTCTTCTTACACTCCAGTTTCATGCATGGCTTTTGTCTAGTCCATTGTGAGTGGTTCAGGACTATCCACACATGTAGCATCCCTGTTGTCTATCTCTATCCTCATCCATGTCCATGTATCAACATAAGTGGAGAATATTCCGTAGTTGGTCTTTCTGGCATGGATTCTCCCCTTTAGCAGATATCTAAATTTTTTACATGGTTGTTTGACAAAAGTCAGTCCATTTCAACCATTGTGGGCTATAGGGCAGCCCTGTCATCTACCATTTATTTTTCCTGCAGTTGGCATGTGTTTTCTCTCCTTTTATTTCGCTTTTGTTTTGGTCTATGCATCTACATTGTCCTTCTTGTACCACTCAGTTGTCAGATTGGAATCTTAATTTTGTTCTCCATGCAGTTCCCCTTCCTCCCTTCAAACCACTAGCCTCATGTTCCTTTTATCACCTTTCCTTGAAGATGTATTTCCTTCTCCTTTTTGCTTGTGGACTTCGCCAGTTGGACTTGTTCACCATCAACATTCACCACATGTCCTTTTATATACCGATTATTCTTTCCTTCCAAAAACATCAGCTGCCCACCAAGGTGATTTCACTTTCACCCCTATTTTCCTTCCTTCCAAGATGTATTTCCTTCTCCTTTTGGCTTGTGGACTTCGCCAGTTGGACTTGTTCACCATCAACATTCACCACATGTCCTTTTATATACCGATTATTCTTTCCTTCCAAAAACATCAGCTGCCCACCAAGGTGATTTCACTTTCACCCCTATTTTCCTTCCTTCCATATTCGATATTTATTCTCTCTCTGGTTCGAATCATCTGTGTCCAGTCCGTGCTTTAAGGTGTTGTGTCACACACACAGCACTCTTTCATGGCTCTCACTCCAGTTTGTTTATCCATTGGAATCTATCCTTTTCTCATGATTTATCTCCTATCACCCTTACTAGTTGAGTTTGTCAGTTTTATCCATATTGCATCTTCCTCCTTTTCTCATGAATCTTGCCAGTTGTTCTATGTATCATCCAATAAGATCTGTCATCTCATAATGTCCTTGGCTGTTCATTTCTGTCATCCTTTGGAGGAGTTTATCCAGGCCAGCATGTGGACCACTCCCCACATCCTTGTATCACACTAATTGCACCTTCTGGTGGTTTCCTGCTCAGCCAGGAATTGTCTTTCCCCTGAGTGTGTAAGTTTTTTTTATTTCTCCATATTTTTTTTCAGGGGCCTGCTTTACATGTTCTTTGGTGAGTGGTGCCTGTCCAGGTATACAGATATCCAAGATCTGCAATGGAATGTGAGGTCTTTAAGTATTATCATCTCACTGTTGAAATGGGGTGTTCCACAAGACTGCTTGCAGGTTCTTCCTTGCAATATATTAAGTCATAAATATGTTCGTACTGGACCGTACACTCATGGACTGACATGATTAAAGCAGAAAGGGATTGCTGCCCATCTCTAAAGTTCCTCCAATTGTCGAATCAGGATGAACCTGCTTTTCAAAATATGGTTTCAAAATATTGCATTTTCTCCAGTAATGCATTTCTCTGGACTCTCCAATGCATTTCTTCCTCCTTCTTTCAGTGGAATATAAGAGTCCTTCTGACTTACCAGCTCCTAGCCACTGAGGTGGTGGATCATGGAGGAATCCTTTTGAGTGTGCACAATTCTACTCAGTTGAGAGTAAGACATTTTACCTGTGTTGAAGGTGTGACTATCCTCCTGCCACAGGTCTGATGTTTTTTGTTCAGATTTTGCTAGTCTGGACTGGACTGGACTTTTCTGTCTATTTTTCAGTTCACTCCTCTGGCTGGGAAACCTCCTTCCTACTGCTACCTGGATGTCAGTTCCTAGGTGACTGATTTTGGTTGGAGCTGGACCAGCCAACATAAGTACTCACATGTGAGTGGACTGGGAACTTCCTCCTACCATGGACTGGATGCTACATCCCCATTGCCAATTGGTTTTGGACTGGAATTGACCCTCCACATTGCATTTCCACCTTCCTCACATTGTCCAGAGGTACATTCCCAGAGTTTCTTGCTGCAGATTTTGCTGGATTTGTGCACATGATACTTTAGGTTCTTGGAATGGAGGCTCCTCTACCCTTCTCGATCCCAGACTTGAAGTGAATGTTTGAGGAACCTCCTCCTACCAGAGGCTGGTCAAATTCCTCTTGGTGCCATTGACTGGACTGGAATTGACCTTCCAATTATGGTCTTATGCACCCTACACACATTCCTCTTCCTTTTGTATTTGGGATGGATAACTTGTTCCACCCTTTGTTTGTGCACACTAGTTAGCTCCACTTGGGCAAGGAGTATACCTGGTTCAGATGTGGTGTGGTCTCCGTGTGTTTCATCTACACAGAGATGGCACACTCTATGGGTGCTCATCAGATGCTTTTGAAGGGTGCTCATTTAGGTAATTTTACACTGGTCCCTCCACCTGCTCAATGTGGGATTCTAGTTGTGACTGTGAGTGAAGGCAAGTAATCATGTAGGAAGTTAATATTTTCTTACGCTGAAAATATATTTCCGAAAGATGCTTCCACTCACACTTCCCACCCATCTTTCCAACTTCCAGTGTTGTTTTTTGTACTTAATCTCAAAGTGAAGATTGGGTTCAATTGCATAGAAGAAGTCAGCTGCAATAGGAGGGTGTGTCGCACTCCTTTTGGTGGAGGGTTGTTGCATGCTTAAATGCAGCTGAGCCATGTGGTATACATGTTGAATTAGGTGGCAATTCAAGGCTAGTAGGGAGTAAAAATTTGCAGACTAGAGGGCAGTCAACTCAAGAATAACTGTAACAGGGGGTAAGTATCTATCGGGAAACATATTTTCTGTGTAGTAAAATATCAACTTCAAACTGTACAACTAATAGATGAAATAACAAAGAAATTACATCATACAGGGGTTTTGTTGAGAACATGTAACATTTAATATTTTTATAGAAAGTGACAGTAGAAAGCCACTGCATTAAATGATAAACTAATTAAAAAAAAAGAAAAAGTTGCAAACCTAATTTGCTACACATTGTAAATATTGTAAACAGAAGTAGTTTCTCAGTCTGACTAGTCAAGATATCAGTTGTAATTAACAATTTCTTTTTTATTGTTTTCTTCCCAGGATCTAATTCATGGTGCTCCTATAGGAGCCCCTGTCTCGACTCGAGCAAGTGTTACTGCTGTTTATGGAGAAACTGATGGCACAGAGATCAGTTTTTCAAGACTTGTAACTGGATCTTCATCAGAATACCGGATTGACAACAAAGTAATTTCACCTTGAAACATTAGAAAGAAGCTCCAGCAATTAAAATCTTAATTTTCACTTAAAATTATGTATGTGAGATCTAAATGATTTCTTTAAATAGCATGGATAGGAAATGTTCATTTTATTCTTAGGAGTGCATGCGAGTAGGAAACCTAGATAAATAAAATTGAAATTTAAAGAAAGGCAAACTTGTTTAAAATTTTTGGTTCACTCATGTGTAGAGTAGTGAAGATGTACTACTTGTCTGTAGTAGTAGTTTTATTTCAGTACTTGTGTAATATGGATTGTGAGGTGGTATTCCTTTATTTTTATTAATATGTTTACATTTTAAGTATTTTTCCTCTATCATTTAGTTGAGTTGCCTCTTGTGCATGATACCAGTTCACACCACATTAGAATTAATTTTAACATCACTGTCATAATTGTAACATTATTCTCATGGCATGACAAAATAACTGACACTAAGTAGCACGGAGGTCTTTGTCACTGTAACTATGATCATATGTTAATAAGTCTGTCACTATATAAATAAATTGATCAGATGCTTTGTTAGTATTCAGTATTCATCCCACATTGAATAGTAATCTCATCAAATAAAAGATAACTGAAAACTTGTAAAATAAACCTTCAATAATGAGAAAGTTTGGATTGGACGTTGCTTGAAAATCAGATTTTATGTGTTATTAGGTATATCTTGTGGTACTTTACAAAGTTATGGTTTTTTTTGTCAAGACTACATTTTTGAGTTAGAAATTTGAAGTTAGGTTGTGTCATTTATGAAAACACAGGTTAAATGGATCAGGAGAGCATCCTGATTTTAAATGTAATTTCAAATGAAGTTGATTTTAGTTTTGCATAAATTTAGCAAATTGAAGATGTTTAGACCTACACTTAATTACTTGCATTGCAAGATGAGAGATTACCTTTCAACATAACACGTATGGACAACAACGGGCCTGTTGATTCATCGAAAAGTCCCATCCACTAAATTAAACTTCTGAGACAATGCCTTACCTCCACACACACAGAATAGCTTGAAACTTGCAATCTACTATTCAACTAACTCCCACCTAAAAATCCTGTGTTTAACATCAACTGCACTAGTGCATGATAATATCACATAACGGTAGTCCTATATCTGTTGTGCAGTAACTCCCCACTTGTGCTTGAAATAACTTCATTATTTTCCTTGGCATTGTCTAGAAAGGACATATTTTTAAAATTATTAATCAATTACATCCGATTTATGATAGTTTGTAAAGCTTAAATTTCAATTAAATTTTACTGGTTTCTTTTATTGTTAAAGAAAAAATATATTTCCTGTTTACTCATTATGAATTCACAAGTGATGGTAACTTCCACTTCATCCCAAGATAGTGATGATTTCCTGACACAGGACCTGTGTCTATTGTGGTTACTGTGGACTCATTGTCTGTGAAGGATGTGACAGCCATTGTTCAGTGTGTTGCAGGTTCCCTCATACACACTGGGCCTCCTTCTCCTGTCCATTTGGCTGATGTTCTTCTCCCCAATTTGAACTATGATCAGGATGATGATAATTTGGCTGGCTATTTCCCCCACCAGGGTTGTGCTCTAAACACAGCTTTATCTCTGGAGGAAAATCCTTACCTTTCTAATATTTTCCTTAACATGATTTCACATGTATGCTCCTTTCTTTGTTTTCCCCTTTGTCTTTTTATTCCCACATGAAACCCATACTCAAGATTACTTTGTCTTTCCTTTTTCACCTGATATTATGGTCTGTGCAGAATTTTTTCTCAACTTTCTTATGTAACACTCCTTGTTGGGTTCTTTTGGTGGTGCGTCTTTGTCCAGCATAACCCTAATTTCCTCTGCTACATCAATTGTCATCCAGGCTCCCTCTTTCTCTGCCACATTCCCATTCATTCATGCTCCAGCCATGCCTATCTTTCACTCAGGGGTGTTATCCCTTGATCTTTACGTGTAAGATTTGTCCATATCCATTGCCAGCAGGACTGGACTTTGATTGTGTAGCCTATTCGTTACCCCATTTCTGTTGTCCTTCAACTCTGTTTGTCAACAAAAGTGATGGGTTTTTCAATGTTGGTCATTCAGCCTCTCACTCTGGGCCATCCTACTGTGACCCACCTTTCTGCCTTTTTCACATGGATGTTCAATCATAGATTGTTGATTTCCACTATTGCTGGTTCTCAGGTGGCTTTATCAACTACATTTTGCATTTGCTGTTACTGTTAGGTTTTACTTCTCCTGTCCTCTCCACTTTGTTTTGATCCTTCCTTCTTCATCAACCCCTTCATCCTACTCCCATGCCTGAGTGGGATTTTGATGTGGATGTCCTAATCCTACCATTTTCACCTCCATGTTGATCAATTGTGAAAAAAAAAGATGATGCATCAGTTCCTTTAACAATTTTAAACTCTTCAAAAAATCCCTTATAACTTCTTTTTTCAAGAGAAAGCAATTTCAGAGATTTTCACTTCTCCTCGTATGACCATCTTTCCATCCCTGGTAACATAACATAAAATTTTGAGGACAACAAAGGACCTATTAGTCCACCTGGCATTTTCAAATTATGAATAGATTCTGTTTAACTTCTAAAAGTTCTAATAAATACTCTGTTCATATTTTAAGAACCCTAGTATTAACTATAAGATCATTCTTAGAGTAGTATAAAAGGTATGTTACAAAATACACCTATCTGTATATTTATTGTAGTATTTCTGTAATAGAGATTGTACATCTTATTTAGTTTTATTTCATTATTTCTGTAGTGTAGATGTATTACTTCCTGCCTATAGTTTAATTTCCGTAATGTTGTGATATAGATGTATTGTTTATAACTTTATTCCAAAATTTCTGTAAAGTAATTTTCCTTCCAGTGGATAACAACTAGACTTTTGTCCCATCTAGACGAATCTACTACCAACCTACTACAAGCTGCATAGAAAAACTCCTGTACTTAGATCCAACCCTAATGCTTAAAATACCAGTCTTCTCTTAACTTCTTCCAGTGTTGTGTCTTCTACAACACCTGAAGGTGAAGCTATTCCATAAGCTGACTACTCTACTAGAATAGTAATACTGCCTTAGCTAGAGTCATGCTTTATATTTTCTAGTCTTATTTTCTGCAGTATTTTTAATGAAAATGTATCCATATTTACAGATTTCAATCCTAACAGTCTTAAAAACTCCAATTATGTTCCCAAAATCCTTCTCCTCTCCAGTGAAAATATGTCAAGAAGTGACTCCTTAGCATAAGATGGGTAAAATATTTATGACTGGATTTCTGTAATTTAACAGAATCTATTTAATTAATCTTATGAAAACATAAATGCAATAAATACTGGTAATGCTGCATTTATCTTGACAGAAATTGGACTTTGAAATTGTTATCAAATTCAACAGGTTGAAACACAATCCATCAACATTCTCTGTCTGAGTCATCAGAGGTGCTATCTATGGCACCTGCTGAACTATGTACACCTACTGGAATTGTTGCTGGTCTCTTGCATTTATTTTATTCATGGCAAGAATGTTTGAGAAAATGATAGATGCTTTGTGAGATGGATTCTGATTGCTTAATACTCTCAACACAGGCTCGGTCAATTTGACCAATCGCATGACCTCTTTGTACTCATTTGAAGTCTTTATAGATTTAATACTTATAACTCTCAATATAGTGTGTATATCTTCACAAAAATTTGGCAGTCTTTCAGCTAATATTACAAGACTTTCACATACAA